GAAGTGTTCAATAATATATAGATTTTATTATCATTGTATTTATTAATTTATTTATTATTAATGACATGATCTTTCCTTTAGTAAGTACTTTGAATTTTAACTGAACATTGCTTTATAAAAGGGACGAAGATAATGAATCCCCGTGCATCGCACGGGACTGTACTAGTAAGAATAATATTAGACAAAATATAATTTATTAATTCTCTTGCTTTTTTTCACCTAATTGAATATATCTTCTATTAGACCTCAAATATTGTCTAAATTGGTTATATATGAGAGGGAGGAATTAGGGGAAAAAAATGTGTACCTGTGCGAGTCTCTCTCTATATATATATATGATGAATTAATTCAAATAAAAAACTAATTATGATACGAGAATAGTGAAAATCGTACATGATGCTATATATTTCTAATATTACATATTGCTATCTTTCACAAAAATACTTATATACGCTGAGATACTATTTTTAATAATACAAAATATAATTGCAATTATATTGATTCTCATTTAATCTACATTCTATATATATTTACAACACTTAAATCTATGAGTGTAAATTGTCATGACATAAAAAGAAAATTATATCATGTTAAATTCTCACCAAAACCTTAGTTGATTAATGAAATTAAATTCAATAATAATTTTTTTCACAGTCAATAAACGTGAGCGGAATAGTCTGATGAGGTGCCCTTGTTTGACGGATCTAAATTCAATAATTTTGGCAGTGACGTACGGAATTGTCCTTTTTGTAAGGCTGAAAAAGATGGCGAGTGCTTAAAACTATGTCGTTTTACTTTAGCGAATAATTAAAAATCATCCGTACGATTTATGTGATGTACTCGTTGACGCACGATATTCCCACCAACAGAACGGCTTTAATTTTATTTTATTTTCTTACCATTTGTATACTTTAAACCTTTGTGCCTACTATTGAACTCATTTAATTTGTTATAATTATAACTGAAATTATAAAAAAATATTATTATTTTACAATTTTCAACAAAATTGTTTTCATTCACAGACAGATTTGTAATTATTTATCATATCAGTCAACATTTTTCTATTTTATTTATTATTGACGTTGATCATTATATTTTTAACTCATATGCATTCATAATGTCTAGTTTATCTCATTTTTTCTAAAGTATTTTTTCCCACTTTTTTATTTTACTTTTTGAATTGGGAGTGAGAAATTTCTAAAAATAAAATCTTACTTCCAATCGCACGTGAACACGTTAGGAATGAAATAATATTTTGAGTCTGTTGTTTTGAACATTTTAATATTAAATTAACTGCCAAGAAACATATATATCTTGTGTAAATTTTCCTTCTCCCATACTTTCATTGGTGATCCATTCTTTGAAAAGTTGATGGCCTCTCCTTCATTCATTGGGAATTTATCTATATAATGAGGGGAAAGAATTTAATGAAAGATTTCTCTTTTTTATGCTTTTTTAGGTTAATTATTAAAATAGTGCATCACATTTTATATTAATTGAATAACAATTATATTTTCTTTTAATTATTTTATTATTTAATAATATTATTAAAACTAACTAATAGTATTTTAAACTAAATGATATATAAAAGGTACATAAGTACAAAAAAATATATTGTAAGACTTTTTTCTAATTTATTTATTTTAAAATTAATATTATGTTTTTTTTTTTTATCTCATTAGACATTGTTTTGTTTTAAATGAACTAGTTCGTTATAATGGTATAATCAACCCCTTAAAATGCATAAGCAATTGTTATAATAGTATGTTTAATATTCTTCAACTAATTAATTAGTCATGATCCCTCAAATGATAAAAATTATATTATTTTATTACAATTTATCCGATCAATACAGTGATTCATATGCAATTAAAAAATAAAAATAGTTATGTGATGTTTATTTTCACTAATGTTTTAATTTTTAAAATATAATATCATTATATAACTTATGATTTTAACATTATATATTTATATGCATATATGTTTTATAATATTTCATTCACATTTCTGTGCATTATAATATTTCATTCACATTTGTGCATGCACAGAAGAATGAATACTGATTGGAAATGAAGAATGAAAAGAATCACATAAAATTTGTAATTATAAATGAAGGATTTCGTTAAAAGAAGTGATATGTAGTTAAGATTGAAACTAGTTTTTGTCCCGTGCATTTGCACGGAAAACTATATGATACATAAAAAAATAATAAAAATTATAAACAATAGTAAAAAAATTATAACAAATTCATTGAAAAAATTAAGAAAAAAATATAAATATTCTTACACACTTATTTATAAAACAACGTCGTGGTTTTTCTATCGTCAAAATCTCCAGCTCAAATCAAAATCTTCAAACCCCACTGACTCGTAACTCTAAAAAGCGCCACGTATAATTGCTCATGACTAAATGCAGAGCTCTTCAGTAGTAAGCCGACGTGCGACAGAGACTGTCTTTGACTCTTATTGATCATGTCATAGCATAGGAAACACTTCTTTATATTGTTTGTCCTTGACTCTTATTGATTGATAGAGATTGTCCTTGCTTCTTAATAAAAAAAAATACCATCTATATATAAATGAGTAAATATAATATTAATTTTTTATATATACACAAAAAATTTAAAGTAATTGAGAATGAGTATAGAATTACCCTTGCGGATTCAAGTTATTCCAACGATGTTCTTTTTATATATTTAAGATTTAATTTTTTTTCTGATTTATATGAATATAAGCACATTTGACTAATTTTTATAAAATTTATTGAAAAAAGTTACTATTTTTTTGAAAAACTGATAAGATATTAAGATAATACTGTACTTAACATAAATGTGAGATTAATTAAAATAAATCTTTTTAATTTAGTCATTAACTAATTAAATTTAACTATAAAAAATCTTCTTAAATGTGAGATTAATGAGTAATTAATTAAAAAAAATGTAACTTCTTTTGGAGGGAAAGTGAAAATATTTTTATTAAATGTTTTATTAAATGGGATTAGCTAGCAATTATATATATATATAGATTAAAGACTATTAAACTTCTATCATTATAGATTGGAGGTAGGGTTGCAAACGAGTCGAGCCGAGTCGAGCATTGGCCTTATCGAGCAGGATTGAATTTTTTTTTTTAGCTGCTGGAGCTCGATTTATTAGGCTCGAGCTCGACTCGATAAAAAAATACAAGAGCTCGAGCTCGGTGGCTCGAGCTCAACTCGAATTCAAAATGCTCGAGCTCGGCTCGAGTTCGGTTCCAATTTTTTTAAGAAATTTTGTAAAATAACTATTAAATACATATATACACAATGGGTATTTTAGTAATTTCATATATCTCAAGTTGTTCGCGAGCCGCTTGACAATGCAAAATATGGGCTCGAACTCAACTCGATTTCGTGCTCGAGCTGCTCGAGCTCGAATCGAGCTTTGACTCGAACGCTCGCGAGCTGCTCGACTCGTTTGCAGCCCTAATTGGAGGGACCTAATTCATAAAAAAATAAAATAAAAAGGCAATTGACTAGTGGAAGGGTGAATCATACTGCCTAAAGTACACAAACACCCAAAAAAATCTCTGCCTTTTGTTTGATTTATGAATGATTGTAGTATAGTATATACATAGTATTGAAAGCAATTATAACTTTTGTGATAAAAGAAAAGGACATAATGGTTTTATAATTTATTAATTTATTCACATACATTTTCTTTCGTGTGTGTGTGTATACCTTTGTTCTTATGAACTTTCTTCCATATTTGTTGAACAAATTGTCTTAGAGAGCTTTCCTTTTTTCTTCTGATTGCTATATTTTTACTAGATTTATTGTTTGTGTGTTCACTTTTGTGTGCTTTGATTTATCTTAAGTCAAACTTTAAGAAAAGTAAAACAACTAAAACAAATATGTCTTTTTTTCACAATCATTATTCTTATCCACTAAAATGTTTCTATTTATTTACAAATTTTATGACTAGAATTGTCTCGCACAATAATTAAGATGCTCTAATACTCATCATATAAACACGCTTTTTGGTTAAACTGCCTCATACATAAATTCATTTATATTCGTACAAGTTTTTATGTTGAA